CTTTAAACATTGTTCTATATTTGCCTTTTTTCCTCTTTGTAAAAATAATTAAAAAAAAAAAAATGCAGGCCAGGCACAATGGCTCATGCCTGTAATCCCAGCACTTTGGGAGGCCGAGGCAGGTGGATCACAAGATCAGGAGTTCAAGACCAGCCTGGCGAACAAACCCCATTTCTACTAAAAATACAAAAATTAGCTGGGCATGGTGGTACGTGCCTGTAATCCCAGCTACTTGGGAGGCTGAGGGAGGAGAATTGCTTGAACCAGGACCTGGGAGGCAGAGGTTGCAGTGAGCTGAGATCATGCCACCGCACTCCAGCCTGGGCTACAGAGTGAGACTCCACCTCAAAAAACAACAGCAACAACAAAAAAACAGGGTCTTGCTCTGCCACCCAGGCTGAAGTGTAGTGGGGAAAATCACAGCTCACTGCAGCCTCAAATTCCTGGGTTTAAGCAATCCTCCCACCTCAGCCTCCAGAGTAGCTAGGACTACAGGCACACACCACCTGTCTAATTCTTAGTGGGTTTTTTTTGTAGAGATAGGGTCTCACTATGTTGCCCAGGCTGGTCTCAAACTCTGGGATCAAGTGATTCTCCCACTTCATCCTCCCAAAGTGCTGGGATTACAGGTATGAGCCATCATGCCTGGCTTCTTTCTCTTTCTTTCTTTCTCTTTCTTTCTTCCTTCCTTTCTTTCTTTTTTTCTTTCTTCCTTTCTTCCTTTCTTTCCTTTTTTCCTTCTTTCCTTCCTTCCTCCCTTCTTCCTTTCTTCCTTTCTTTCTCTTTCTTTCTTTTTCTTTTTTTCTTTCTTCCTTCCTTTCTTTCTTTCCTTCCTTCCTTCTTCCTTTCTTCCTTTCTTTCTTTCTCTCTCTCTTTCTTTCTTTCTTTCTTTCTTTCTTTCTTTGTTCAGATGGAGTTTCACTCTGCTGCCCAAGCTGGAGTGCAGTGGCACGATCTCGGCTCACTGCAACCCCCACCTCCCAAATTTAAGCGATTCTCCTGTCTCAGCCTTCTGAGTAGCTGGGATTACAGGCATGTGCCACCAAGCTTGGCTAATTTTTTTGTATTTTTAGTAGATATGGGGTTTCACCATGTTGGTCAGACTTATCTCGAACTCCCGACCTCAGGTGATTCGCCCACCTCAGCCTCCCGCAGTGCTGGGATTACAGGTGTGAGCCACGGCACCCGGCCTCTACATTCTGTTCTCTGTGGATCTGCGTGTTCTGGACATTGCATCCATTTTTATTTTATTTTATTATTTATTTTGAGATGGAGTCTTCCTCTGTCACCCAGACAGCTGAAGTGAAGTGGCACAATCTCGGCTCACTGTAACCTCCGCCTTCCATGTTCAAGCAAGTCCCCTGCCTCAGCCTCCCAAGGAGCTGGGACTACAGACACGCTCCACCATGCCCGGCTAATTTTTTTATTTTTAATTTTAGTAGAGATTGGGTTTCATCACGGTGGCCAGGATAGTCTCGATCTCCTGACCTCATGATCTGCCCATCTTGGGCTTTAAAAGTGCTGGAGTTACAAGTGTGAGCCACCACACCTGGCCTCTTTTTACTTCTCAATACATCTTGGCAATATTTTCATGGCAAGCCCTCTCCCATGAAAATATTTCATGGCAATATTTTCATGGGAGCGAGGGCTCAACCTGTAATCTAAGCACTTTGGGAGGCCAAGGCAGGCAGATCCCTTGAGCCCAAGAGTTGGAGACGAGCCGGGGCAACACAGCAAAACTCCATCTCTACAAACGATACAGAGCTTAGCCAGACATAGTGGCATGTGTTTGTAGTCCCAGCTACTCAGGAGGCTAAGGTGGGAAGACCACTTGAGCCCCAGAGTTTGAGGCTACAGTGAGCTGAGATCACGCTGGACTGGGAGGCAGAGCAAGACCCTTTCAAAAAAAGAAGAAGAGAGAAAGAAAAAAAAGAGAAGATCGGACGTGTTGGCTCACTCTTGTAATCTCAGTACTTTGGAAGGCTGAGGCCAGTGGATCACAAGGTCAGGCTTTCAAGACCAGCCTGGCCAACCTAGTGAAATCCCATGTCTACTAAAAATACAAAAATTAGCGCTAGTGAGCGCCTGTAATCCCATCTACTTGGGAGTCTGAGGCAGGAAAATCGCTTGAACCTGGGAGGCAGAGGTTGCAGTAAGCTGAGATCACACCACTTCACTCCAACCTGGGCAACAGAGCAAGACTCTATCTCAAAAAAAAAAAAAAAAAAAAAAAAGAAAGGCAGAGAGAGAGAGAGAAGGAAGGAAAGGAAGGCAGGCAGGTCAGGTAGGCAGGGAGGGAGGGAGGGAGGAAAGAAGGAAAGAAGGAAGAGGCTGGGGGTGTAGTGGCTCATGCCTGTAATCCCAGCATTTTGGGAGGCCAAGGCGGGCTTTAAGGTCAGGAGTTCGACTTCAACTGGATTAGAATTAGTCCGACCGGGAGAAGGGAGGGCCCTGGCACCACCCACTGCCAGCCCTGCCATCTGCACCCATTTATCTGGGACCCCAGTGCCCACCCAGCCTCTCTCCCTCTGGTCCCATCCCTGATGGCTAAGGCTGCATTTGCAGCTTTCTGCCCTGCCCCCTAAAACCTAAAGGGGGCCATTAGTTAAGTCAGATGAGAAGACTGAGGCTCAAAAATAAAGTTGGTTAAGTGCAAACCGTCATATCCAGAAACCTGAACATCACTGATCTTCAGAAAATGCACATGTGCCAGGGCATTCACTGGCACTCAATAAACGCTGAAAGGAGTGGAAGTTGCTGTGGACAGCTGAGCAGGACTCAGATTGAAAGGAGTCTTGAAAGCCAGGAGCATGGACATGACCTGGCAGCAGCAGGGAGCCATGGCGGGTTCTAGGCAGGGAGCCACGCCATCCTATCTATGAGGACTTAATTGCCAAGAGGGAGTTAATTGAATCTGTCACTAGGGGGCACTCAAGTCTTCCCATAGATTGTTAGGTGGCCACCGGTCATGGAGCTATTGAGCATTTGAAACAGTTCAGTGGAGATTTAAGTGTGAAAGCCACATGGATTCGCAAGCACTTCATACAAGAAAAAGGATGTCAGAAAAAGTAACAAGACTCTTGTCTCTACCAAAAAAATAAATAAATAAAAATTAAAAATTAGCCAAGCATGATGGCATGCACCTGTAGTCCCAACCACTTGAAAGGCTGAGGCGGGAGGATCACTTAAGCCTGGGAGGTTGAGGCTGCAGTGAGCCATGATCACACCACTGCATTCCAGCCTGGGCATTAGAGCAAGACCCGGTCTCCACAAAAATTAATTTTATACTTATGCCCATATGTGCTGATGATTTTCTTTCTAAGGGAAAGATTTCTAGCAGTGAGGTTGCTGGGTGAAGGACTTCTATATTTTTAATTTTAATAGATGTTGCCAGGTTGTAGATACTGACAAACTGATCTTAAAATTAATACAGAAAGGCAAAGACTGAGAATAGCCTACAAAATATCAAAGAAGAACCAAATTGGAGGACTGTCACTACCCAATATCAAGATGTTCTGGAAATATGCAATAATCAAGACAATATTGCCAGAAGAAGACACACAGATCAACAGAATAGAGAGTCCAGAAATAGATCCATAAATATAATCAATTGATCTTTGACAAAAGTGCACAGGCGATTCAACAGAGAAAGGACAGTCTTTTTGTTATTTAGCAATCAATGTGCTCCCTGCCCAATGCACACAGAGGCCAATACATGGCATCAGCTTTTGAGAAAGTAAAAGCTTTATTGCAAATCGACTTCAAGGAGACAGGAAGAACCACTCAAATCTATCTTCTGGAGCTGCAGGCTGGGTCAGCTTTTATAAGCATAGGGTAATGAGGTGTGTTCTGATTGGATCTTGCATGGATCTTGCATCCTGCCATGGGGTGATGCCAGGGCTCTCTCTGATTGGATCCTGAGTCCTGTCAGGCGGTGTTTGCTTCTTAATTCAGTCTCCACTCCTCTCTCCTCAGTTGGAGCACTTATGTTCTGCCTGTGGTTACACACTTAGTTCACCTGGACCTGCTCAGGTTATGTGACCTTCAGCCTAGGGGTCTGTAGCAACTGAAAAACAACTCAGAACTTTGCTACATAAAAGTTGAACCATTAGGAGGCTGAGGTGGGTGGATCACCTGAGGTCAGGAGTTTGAGACAAGCCTGGCCAACATGGTGAAACCCCGCCTCTACTAAAAATGCAAAAATTAGCCCGTGTGGTGGCACACATCTGTAATCCCAGCTGCTTGGGAGGCTGAGACAGGAGGAGTGCTTGAACTCAGGAGGCAGAGGTTGTAGTGAATTGAGATCGTGTCACTGTACTCCAGCCTGGGAGACAGAGTGAGACTCCATCTCCAAATAAAGAAAAAAACTAAAAACGAAGTTGAACCAGATGATTGGTCTGGTGTGGTTACATTTTCCACAGATGGTGTGAGAACAATCAGATGTCCATATTCAAAAAATAGGCACAGACTTTACACTTTCATAAAGAAATGAATACAAAACAAAAACGAACACAGGCCAGGAACGGTGGCTCAGACCTGTGATCCCAGCACTTTGGGAGGCCGAGGTGCTCACCTGAGGTCAGGGGCTCAAGACCAACCTGGCCAACATGGTGAAACCCCATCTCTACTAAAACTACAAAAATTAGCTGGGCATGGTGGTGGGCACCTTGTAATCCCAGCTACTCGGGAGGTTGAGGCAGGAGAATCAATCGCTTGAACTCAAGAGGCGGAGGTTGCCGTGAAGATCATGCCCCTACACTCCAGCCTGGGCAACAAGGGCGAGATTCCATCTCAAAAAAAAAAAAAATACAAAAGGGTGTTGAGAAATGCTGAGTGTATGATAAAATTATATTGTTTGCTAAGAAGAACAATGGCAAGGAAAACCTAGCCGGTCTCCCCAAGTGGAAAACTGCTTGGGGCATTCTAAAGTAGAAAACAGTATATGTATATATATCATACACCGGTTAAAACAATTCTTTAAGAACGGGATATGTGACCCTGCCCCCGTGGCTCCGCTCCCTTGTGGAGAATACTTTTGGGTTTGTCCTTGATCAGTGGTAAGCAGGCACCAGCTGCCTACCTAGTTTATCTTGGTTCTATGAGAAAACACAGAACACCTGTTTGTTAATAATAATCACCTGTTCAATGAGAATAAATACGTGGATCAGCGTCTGCTCAAGGCCCTCACCCCTCTGAGGCTCTCAGCTCGGAAGGCTGTTGGTCCCCAGATAGTCCCACTTTGCTCTTCTATCTGGATGTTTGCTTCTTAATGCCTTCAGCGCTGCCTGGGTGGGGTTCTCTACAGCAGGACTGGCCTCGGTAAAAGGGAGGATAGTGAGGTACCTAGAATAGGAAAATTCACAGAGAAAGTAGAATAGAGGTTACCAGTGGCTGAGGGAAAAGGGATGAAGTGTTATTATTTAATAGGTACAAGGCCAGGCATGGTGGCTTACGCTGTAATCCCAGCACTTTGGGAGGCTGAGGCCAGTGGATCCCTTGGGGTCAGGAGTTCAAGACCAGCCTGACCAACATGGTGATACCCTGTCTCTACTAAAAATACAAAATAAACCCAGGAGGCGGAGGCTGCAGTGAGCCGAGATTGTGCCTACTGCACTCCAGCCTGGGTGACGGAGCAAGACTCCATCTCAAAAAAAAAAAAAAGGTACAGATTTCCTGTTTGGAAAAAGTTCTGGAGATGGATGGTGAAGATATTGCAGGAAAGAGCTCCCAATCCAGACTCCAAGAGAGGGTTCTTAGATCTCGCACAAGAAAGAATTCAGGGCAAGTCTGTAAAGGGAAAGCAAGCTTATTAGGAAAGCAAAGGAATAAAAGAAGGCCTACTCCACAGAGCAGCCGGGAGGGCTGCTAGTTACCCATTTTCATGGTTATTTTTTGATGATATGGTAAACATAAAGGGATGGATTATTCATGTCTCCCTTTTTTAGACCATATAGGGTAACTTCCTGATGGTGCCGTGGTATCTGCAAAGTGTCATCGCGCTGGTGGGGGTGCAGCAGTGAGGGCGACCACAAGTCACCCACGTCATCATCTTGGTTTTGGTGAGTTTTGACCGGCAACTATTTTATCAGCGGGGTCTTTATAACCTGTATCTTGTGCCAACCTCTTGTCTCATGCTGTGACTTAGCATGCCTTAGCTGTCCGGGAGTGCAGCCCAGCAGGTCTCAGCCTCATTTTACCCAGCCCCAATTCAAGATGGAGTAGCTCTGGTTTATATGCTTCTGACAGTGATGATTTCACAACATAAATGTACTTAATACCACTGAGTTGTATACTTAAAAACGGTCTGAGGATTAAGCTCTGATTTTTTTTAATCTTGCCCGAATTCCTATCTAAGGGGTCTGGGTCTGCCCTACAAACTATAATTCCTCATCAGATGGGTTTTATTTAACCCTATATATCCTGAATTACTTTCCAATCTGACTCTGGCATAATGTTATGTGATGTGGGAAATAAAAAAGTTCCTCTTTAAAGTTTCCTTCTTGTTAAAGAATAAATTTGCTAATAACCCTTCATTAAGCCCTATCCTATGGAGCTGTTAAACATGCCATGCTTACAGGCACATAGTATTTTCTATGTCCTTATACTTTAACCAAGATATCTGTGCTGGAAGTGCTCACAGGCATATCCCAGCTGGCAGCCTTAACCCTTAACCTGTTTAGAAAAGTTTTAAGTTATTAGCCAATCAGGTTTTAGTTTAGATTTTGAGGTCTGGCACCAACCAATGGAGATGAGAGACAGCAGTAAGGATGACCCCATATACATAGGGGATAAATATGTCTGCTTTTCCTTGTTCATTGTACTCTCGTAGCAAGATGGCTAGCGAGGGTGCCCTTCCTGCAGTGCAGGATGTAAAAAAGTAAAAATTGCTTTTCTAGGAGATCCTTTGTCTCAGTGCTAATTTTTCTTTGTGGCACCGAGCATCTGTTTCCAACACGTGACAAAGAAGAAAATCAGAATATTTTACCCCAAACATGTTTCTTTGTCATATTTTGAAATGGCCTTGGGCCAAATGTGGTGGTTCATGTCTGTAATCCCAGCAGTTTGGGAGGTCGAGGCAGGCAGATGACTTGAGGTCAGGAGTTTGAGAGCAGTCTGGACAACACGGTGAAACTCCCATTTTACGAAAAATACAAAAATTAGCCAGATGTGCTCACTTGAACCCAGGAGGTGGAGGTTGTAGTGAGTCAAGATCATGTCACTGCACTCTGTCCTGGGTGACAGAGCAAGACTCTGTCTCAAAAAAAAAAAAAGAAAGAAAAGAAAGAAGAAATGGCTCTGCAAAGCCATCCTTTGTAGGGGAAAATTTACATTTGTAAAAAATCTCTAGGCAGGGCATGGTGGTTCACACCTGTAATCCCAGCATTTTGGGAGCCGAGGCAGGTGGATCACCTGAGGTCAGGAGATTGAGACCAGCCTGGCCAACATAGTGAAACCCCAGCTCTACTAAAAATTACAAAAATTAGCTGGGCGTGATGGCAGGCACCTGTAATCCCAGCTACCTGGGAGGCTAAGGCAAGAGAATCTTTTGAACCTGGAAGGCAGCGGTTGCAGTGAGCTGAGATCACACCTCTGTACTACAGCCTGGGCAACACGAGTAAAACTCACACACACACACACACACACACACAAAAGGTAAATTGTATGCTATATATATTATACCATGCAAAGAAACACAAAAAATCATAGCCTTAGATGTAAAATACAAAGCTATAGGGGATGGTGCAAGAGGAAGGTGGAGGATGGGAGGGAGAGAAAAAAAATAAGGCAGGAAAGGAGGGAGGAAGGGAAGGGGAAGAAGGAAAAACTCTACAAAACTCTACAACTTCTAGAAGAAAATATAAGTAATCTTGGATTTGGTAATGAGACTTTATTTTATTTTTCTGTATTTATTTGAGATAGGGTCTTGCTGTGTCACTCACGCTGGAGTGCAGTGGTGCAATCATATCTCACTGCAGTCTTGACCTCCTGGGATCAAGTGATTCTCCCACCTCCACCTCCTGAATAGCTGGAAACACAGGCAGGAGCCATCACACCAGCCTAATTTTTAATTTTTTTTTGTAGAGATGTGGTCTCACTAGGTGGCTCAGGTTGGAGCAATGAGATTTTAACACCAGAAACATGTTCTGTAAAAGGAAAAAAAATTGGTATTGAATTTTATTAAAATTGGAAATGTTTGTTCTGTAAAAGATACTCTTAAGATAATAAAAAGACAATACTGGAAGAAAATACCTGTAAAACAGATGTCTGAAAAAAGACTTGTATACAAAACAGATGTTGCCAGGATGAAAGCATTCAAATCCTCTTAAAGAACACATTCCTCCCAGTCATAGATGATTGCCCATTTTCCTACAGACTCGCCAGCAGTGAGTGTTACCACTTTTTAAAATTTTTGCCAATCTCAGAGAGTGGGACATACTTTTTACTTCAGTTTGCTTTTTGTAATTCCAGACCATTTGAGCATCTTTTCCTACGGTTTGGGGTGGCTTGGATTTATTCGCTGGGTTCTATGTATATTCACTGACTTTGTCCCTTTTGGGGTTATCTCTTCCTCAATTTGTACACGCTCTGCCTCTTTGTCACTTGAATTATTGACTTCAAAATTTTGTGCTGTCTTTGCCATCCAGAGTTCTTAGTTTTTATTTTATTTATTTGTGTGTTTGTTTCTGAGACAGGTGTCTTACTATATTGTCCATTCTGGTCTTGAACTCCTGGGCTTAAGTGATCCTCCCACCTCAGCCCAGCAAATAGCTGTGATTACACGTTTTTAATTTCTAAGAATTTTAATTTTTAGCAAGAAAAATGTCTTTTTATTTTTCCACTAGAGCTTTGAGTTTGTAGGCATTTTTGTTTGTTTTGTTTGAGACGGAGTCTTGCTCTGTTGCCTGGAGTGCAATGGCGTGATCTTCACTCACTGCAGCCTCTGCCTCCTGTGCTCAATTGGTTCTCCTTCCTCTGAGTAGCTGGGATTACAGGCACCACCACCATGCTCTGTTAACTTTGTATTTTTAGTAGAGATTGGGTTTCACCATGTTGGCAAGGCTGGTCTTGAACTCCTGACCTCAGGTGATCTGCCCACCTCGGCCTCCCAAAGTACTGGGATTATAGGCATATACCACCGCACCTGGCCCAAGTTTGTAGTTTTGAAAGTCTCTTTCGTCCTTTGGTTGTATAGGCAGCTGCTTATATTTTATTTTCTTTCTTTTTTCTTTTCTT